GTAAAACACCCACAATAATAAAAATAAAAGAAACCAAAAACAAACACTAGCCAAATATTATGTCAAAACAAGGTGCTCACTAGAGCCATAACTGTCATTTCTGTGTCTATAGCGCCGTAAAACATCAGATGTTAGATTTTACTATGCCACGCCAAAGCCCAAGGTCTTTAGCTAAACATAATAGGATATTCAACAGTGTAACCTGGCCTATAAATCGCTCTTGGGGATAACCCAACTGATGATGACACTCGTTGTGAGTTTGGCGGTACATTAATATTAAGAAGACGGCACATCTCAAATGTGCTCCTACCGAATATTGCCGAAACATAGCCCAAAGTAGGCAGTCTAAAAATAAATGCAATAGACCGTACGCTATTCTTGTCCAATATTATGTGAGCCCCGGAGCAATCCAGCTGAGTGCTCAAGTGAATTGTGATTGGTTCATTGTCTGTCTTGCAACTATTTTAAGTGACTCTTTGACCGTGAACCTGAGGGAGGTGAACGTGACCGTCCTATGAGTTGTGCCTTTAAATGGTTTTGTAGTGGAGTGGTGAAAGTTATAACTTGAGTGTTCAGTTCTAATACAGTATGAACGAAATTGATGTTTAGCTAACAAACCAATTTAGTATTAAAAATCAAAGCGAAAGGTAAAAAGAATGAAAATAAAAGCACGAGGTCCTCCCTCACCAACCCAAAGATCGTAAAATTATACACCGTCTCATTAAATTTACTATGCCATTGGCTATCTTTAGCACGCGATAGCTTAATTGTGCACCACAATAGCTTTTTAGCCCCACGAGCCGTCCCTGCTTTACACACACACGCACACATACACATACACATATAATTTACACATACACACACACATATATACACCCACACACACACACACATACACTCACACACACACACACACACACAGACACACACACACACACACACACACACACACACACACACACACACACATACACACACATACATACAAACACCTGTCGCCCACAGACTCGATGTGATGTAAGCGACGTCAGACACATCTCTCCATTCACGTCACTTTCAGCATTCTTGACATTTTCTAAAAGTTCAAACATTGAAAGTCTTTCAAGGCTCTCTTTTTCTTTTCTATAAACTCAGACCGACCGACTAGGTAAAAGATGTATTCATTCGCATTCTGAGCTATCTCATTCGTCTTCTCAAAAGCGTAATTCTTATCTTTGTTATCATCAAAAGTCATGTCATTGTCCAAAGCCAACGTTGATCAATCTTGGTAATTTTTCTTTCGTCCAGTTCTTAAAAATTTATTGGTTTTGGCATTTCGCTGTATTTCAATTCAAGCATCCACCTTTTCTTCCAACATTCTCCATGTCTCTTTTTGCGCATCTAAAAGTCTTTATTTTCTGCTATCTCTTCATTTCCTTTTGAAATTTTAATCGGTCCTCTCGGTGTTGTTGTTGTTTTGGTTTTTTGACTATTTTCTTCCTTAAACTGAGCTTTAGCAATTCTCCTTATTTCATGTTAAGATTTCCATAGACATGTCATGCTGTTGATCACTTTCGTGTCAGGACTATTGAACATTGCCTTCATTTCGGCCATGCCCGACCACGCCAGGTCAGGCAACGATATTGCCTTAACTTATGCAGGACCGAGTACGTTTGTATTTCTTTGAAAATGGATGATCAATATGTTTATAATTTCAAACACGCGCAAAGCATACGAAGTTTTAGACTTAAAACCTGTGCCGTTGCTTTTAAAAAATCTTCCAGAATCATCCAGATAGATTGGGTCAAAGCAATCCAAACAAAACGAACAAAATACAAGCTGCTAAAGTTCGAAATAACACACTACCTCGACTGACAACATTTTCGTAGAGTAAAATAGTAGAAGGAAAGTCATTCGAAGTAAAGAGAACATGTTGAGCCTCAGGAAAAACTGTTATACTAACATGAAATTACAGTAATTGACCGCAGTCAGGTCCGTCCTTGCTTTGGTCCATCTCCGTTATTCCAAAAAACGTAGTGACCATAAGATTTAGTCTCAGTAGTAGTATAGGGTTTTACGGCGCTCGCAACTGCTAAGGTCATATGAGCGCTTTTAGTCTCAAATGAAAACAGCATATTACGGTAATATATGCCCAAAGCGTGCAGCATGTACGTATGTATGTATGTATGTATGTATGTATGTATGTATGTATGTATGTATGTATGTATGTATGTATGTATGTATGTATGTATGTATGTATGTATGTATAGTG